TGAATGGGTCCTACTTTAATTTAGGCTCAAAGTCGACCAAAAAATCAATTTTATCACTTAAAAAATTGTTTTGGTCCAATAGTCTCTACTGATGATAAAGATTGATTTGACTTATCTAGACTCTACATCTTTTTCCTTGAAGTAGCATCATCGATAACACCGTCTAAGCAAGATATAGCAAAACCATTCGTCTTGCCTTCCCTTGATAATTCATGAACCTCCCAATTCTCCTCATTTGAGGGTGAACGTTGACGACAAACCCATTTGCCCTTTTCTCTCCAGGATAACTTGATTGGAATCTCAGTCGAGGATATATGGTGGACTAGGGCTTGGTCTTCTTTGGAAGGAATTGGGAGGGAATTCTTCACTCTAAGATTGTTGAGCTTCTTATTTGCAATCAAAACCGTATCACTAGTCTAAAAGAGGCTTAAAATAAAGTGTTTTTTTTTTTTGGTTTGGATACAATGTTTTAGACTTATTTGAGTAAAAGTGTACGAATAAGATAGTTTACTCTATTAAGTATAATTTTTATAAAAAATTTTGTGTTTAGGTAATACTAAATGGTGCAACTATTTAGTTTTATGTAAACAACTAAATGACAAATTGAGTTGATGTCATAATTTTATGTAATTATTTTGTGTAATTGCTTAAAAAAAAAAGAATTGACCAAGATATTATGTATTGTTCATTTGTTGGGATGTAGGGAAAAAAGAACTTCTTTGCTTTTTTTAATGAGTGTAACTATTTTTTTATTAGGTGTAACTGTTTTTTAATGGGTGTAACTATTTTATTAATGGGTGTAACTATTTTTTAATGGGTGTAACTATTTTTTTAATGGGTGTAACAATAACAGTTTTATGCAATTGTTAAGACATGATGGTGTAACGATGTCGCGATATTAAATTGTGCAACTATTTAGTTTATATAAACAACTGAATGACAAATTGAGTTAGTGCCATAATTTTGAGTAATTATTTTGTGTAACTGTTTGGTTTATTAGAATGTATGAGTAACTGTTTGGTATATTATAGAACAATTATAACTTATTGATGTAACCGACTAGTGTAATTGTGTTGTTATAATATTAATATAAATATAGTAAGATAAAATAGGGGAAGAGAGAGAAACTCTTAGAGAAAATATGCCCCTATTTTACCTCCTATTGTTTGATTGTTGCCAAAAAAAACGGAAGGAATACAAAAGGGTTTCCATCCATCTGCGGAATGACAATAGTGTCATTTTTTTAAAATATGCACTTTACCCTAAATAAGTTTTTGAGTTTTATTTTTGCCCAAATAAATCTAAAAAATTGTATCGACTTCCAAATCCCCTAAAATAAAAGCTTGGTGATCATCAAATTTGAGGCCCACATCCAACATCCACCAGCTTACCTTCATCAACTAGATCAGCAGAAAGTACAAGACCCATTTTTTTTTGGACCAAGTTCTAGACCCAAATTTGGGGGCCCTACTTCAAGCCCAATGGGGCATAACACATATCGACTTATGACATTGACTTTCTCGAGGGGGTTTGAAGAGTAGATCATCGTTTTTAGTATAAATAGGTTAGTGGGGATTATCCACCTCCCTACATTCACTTGCCACAATTTCTATGTGATTAACATTTAGCACATCCCTATCACTTTGGGTTTGTTTAGTTAGCGAGAGAATGGTGGAAAAAGGGGGAAAGAGAAAAAAAAATAAAAAAGCTGTCATTTGTTTAGCAGGAAATGAATGTTTCCCAGGAAAATTTTTTTTCCGCATGATCAAATTTTCCCCGTATTTGATGCTTTTTGATTTCCCACAAAATCTGCATGAAATTTTTTTTTCCTGTGAAACTTGGTTATTTGTTTCATTGTTTACCAATTTGCCCCTATTTTAGCACACCACAACTACTCTTTGCACTCATCTTCTCAGCTAACTCGTCAAGGAAGACTACCTCTCAGTATTCATCTTCTCAACCAACTACATCTTCCACCTTTGAACATCTTCTCAACCAACTGAGAAGTAAGTTTTTCTTCCATCTTTAATTGCTCTATGTACTAGAATTGATACATATTGTAAGTAACGAAACCCATAAATTTGTACAAGCAAAAAACCCAGTAATTTGTATTAGTGTATACACTTCGGAGTTAATTTTTGGATCTTCAATTTGTATTAGTCATGTGTACTTACTGCATTTCTGTTGTGGCAACACCATTTTTTTCCCTTTTCTCTCTGTTTTTCTTGTTGATTAATGGTTAAATGTTCTATTGGATTATGATTCAACTGGCATGTAGATGACCGTAGATCAGATGTTTGATAAACTATCTCAACTAGCATGTGAAGATCATTTAATACATAATTGTGAAGATCAATTATATGGCAAGAACCAGAACTCATAGGACACCATTTGGATGATTGTGTACTTGATAATTAATAATTACTTGGCCTTTGGATATTTTGATGCTTGTGTGCTGAATATTAAAAGTTTTTATTGAAGTAAATGTATTGCAACTGAAATCATTCTTTGAGATTGATTTTTCATTGGTATGTTGTGGTCTTTCTTGATCTTTCAGTTGATCATAGATTATATTACCTATTTTTTAGTGACAAAGAACACTTTTGATTTCACATAATTCAACCTCTGATAAACAGGATGACTTTGTTTCAACAACTTTGTAGTCACTTTTATCACTCACACAAACGAAGCCCGATTGATACAATTGCAAATTGATATGCATATTGTCTTTTTTTTCCCTGCATAACAAGGGGAAAAATCCACATTTTGGTTTAATGATTACAAGATCTAGGTCACTAGAGCTTAATAAAAAGTATGTTCTGAGATACATCTTGATGAATTAAATGACCAGAATAATAAAGCTAGCCTTATGACTACAGTAAAACCAGTAGGCCCTCTACTGGTCTTAATACTTAAACAAATAAAATCAATTATTTTTCTCCCTCAAAACCAATCAAAACAATAAATCCCTGCCTCCCCATGATCACTGTGAAGAGTACTAATTAGAACCACTGAGCATAATACACTCTAAAGCTAAAATTTACAAACAACAAATGAGAAACTTGTTTTCCCAGTTCTACTTAACAAGACATATTTATAGACAATAGAAAGTGGCCTAGACACTGATAACTTCATTCAAGAGCTGAAACTTGAAAAAGAGTACTCAAATTATAAACTTCAGTCAATGATCTTTTACATATAAACTTCAACCATGATCAAGAAGGGTAGATCATAAAAACTTAACTCATGATCATATGTACAGTTACACCTAATATGGTTATCTTATTTAACTAAAATGATGTAAAGTTTATTGTGCTTTTTTCCTTCTTTTTTTTTTTTGTTGTTTTGAATTGGATTTTGCTTTTTGATTTATATGTGTATATTTTTCATTTGCATTTTTAATGATATGTTCTTATTTGCGATGTTCTTAATATTCGATCTTGAAGATGGATAACTATGATGATGATAATGAAGAGATTATTCTTCTTTATGCACAATTTGTTGGTGTCATGACTGTTATGTATGGTGTTTATTACTTGGAACCATATGATGATAAGCCATAACGCAATTGTTATTTGACACAACACCAATTTGTCTGGGACGTGACACAAAGTGATGAACATTGTCATAATCTATTAAGAATGAATGTGGAGGCTTTCCAAAGATTTGTATACATACTTAAAGGTACTGGAAGGCTAAAGGATACCGTGCACTGTAGTGTTGAAGAACAATTAGCAATACTTTTGTATATAATATCGCACAATCTCAAGAATCGAAGTGCAAAATGCTACTTTAAGAGATCTGGTGAAACCATATCCCGATACTTCCACATGGTCTTAAATGCTATAATAGGCATGGAAGATGACTTTTTTAAAGCAACCTACTTCTCAAATGGAAACACCTACAGAGATACGCGAAAATCATAGGATGTGGCCATATTTTAAGGTAAAATATTGTAAAAAAAACACTTTTTAATATATTTACAATATTGTTTCCACGAATTTCTCATTTGTTATTGATGTAAGTAGGATTGTGTGGGAGCAATTGATGGTACACATCTTCCTGTGAAAGTTTCAGCCAAATATGTTGCACGATTTCGTGGTAGAAAACAATGGCCTTCCCAAAATGTATTAGCTGCTTGTACGCTAGATTTAAGATTTACCTATGTCTTAGCCGGTTGGGAAGGCTCAGCATCTGATTCTCGAATATTAGGTTGTGCTATTAGTCGGGAGCATGGGATTACATGTCCTCCAGGTAATTATGTACTTCAGCAATACGAATAAATTCTTTTGAAATGGATTAAAATAACTTTAATAAGTTCTATGTTATTGTTTGTGTAGGCAAATTCTATCTAGTAGATGTGGGATTTCCATTGTTAAAGCATTACATTACCCCATTCAGAAGTACTAGGTACCATTTAAATGCAATAAGAGGGCATGTACCAACCTCAGCAAAAGAGTTGTTTAACCATAGACATTCATTTTTACGAAATGCAATTGAGAGAGCCTTTTGGAGTATTAAAAAAATGATTTCAAATCTTAGTAGATGAACCAATGTTTAGGTATACAACTCAAACAAAGATAGTAATTGCATGTTACATTGTGCACAATCATATTCGGGGAGTGATGTCAGATGATCCACTATTAGCTGATGTTGATCGAAAGATGCAAAATCAACCAGCCACAACCCATGATGATGTTGACACACAATTAACAAGGGTTGAAGATGGAAGGGTAGGAAAAAGGATTCGAACGCAAATTATGAACGAGATGTGGAATGATTTTTGTAATAGACGGTAGTTAGATGCTTGCTCATAACGTACTTTGATATTTTTAGATACATGAAAATGGTATTGTATGTCTCTTTAGTAGGGTAGTGGTAAAATAAATACTACATTGTTTTTGATATGGTTTGCCTTTCATTTGTGCATGTTTTTTATTTTATAATGATTACATTTCTTATTTCAATTGTTATTATATATACTTTTGAGCTTTTTAGGAATGGAGCTTGATGAGTCTCAATCCCTTGCTGGGGAAGGGAAGAAAAAAGGAAAAAATATAGTGTGGTCTAAAGAGATGAATCGATGTCTCATTCTGGAACTGGTACATCAAGCTAATGAAGGTTATAAAGTAGATAAGGGCCTTAAAGATCAAGCTTATACTGCAGCTTTGTCAGCTATAAATACTAGTTTTAACCTTTCACTGAGTCGAGATAATTGTGTTAATCGATTAAAAACCATCAAGAAAAAGTTTAGATTTATTGAGGATATGTTGAGCAAAAGTGGATTTGCTTGGAATCCTATGGCAAAAGTAGTCGAGTGTAGTGATCAAGTCTGGGCTACATATGTTGTTGTAAGTATCATTTTAAATAATAATGACTTCTAAATAATATATTTTGCAATAAAAAAAAATGAAAGCAATTTATCAAAATATGGCTAACTATTGTTTGATACATTTTTGTAGGCAAATCCAGATGCAAAAGGATTGCGTGGTAAAAAGATTAATATGATTGATAAATTATCTATTGTGTGTGGCAATGATCAAATAACCGATGGGCATGTTCAGGTAAAGATAAAATGCAAACTTGTCAAGACAAATGAATGATAGTGACGATGAGTACACACCGATATTTGATCTTAATGATAATACAATAGTCGATGACTTGGGTGGTATAGAAGGTAATGGATCTGCACAACAACAAGAGAGTGGCAGTAGTCAAATACATGCTCAAGGCAATCACAACCATGGATCTTCAAAGCCTATGAGACATAATTCAAAGAAATCGAAAAATACAGAGATAGTTGTCGAAACAATGAATGCTGTTGCAAATAACATGGCAAGACTAACTGATGCATATGAGAAGAATAAGCCTTGCGTAAATTATTCAGACCTTTACAAAGTTGTCATGCATGTTGAAGGGTTAGATATTGATAGTTGAATGACCGCTTTTGAGTACTTGAATGCAGATTCTGTAAAAAGCGAGAGCATTTTTGATCTATCCCGCAGAAATGCGCTATTTATTTTTAATTTGACAACTATCACAAGGAGGCCCGATGCTATAAATTAAAGGTCGAGTGGTGACGATAATGCATGCATTTTTGGTTAGAGGATTATAAGTTCCTTGGACTTGGTTTTATAGTGTGGTTGAATAACATTGCATGTTATTTTAATAATTTGGACATAATTTATGTTTGGTGAGATTTTGGTTACTACTTTTGTGTGTTAAGTATTATTAGTTCATTTAAGGTAGTATTTGTTATTGAAATCTACTACATTGTTTTCTATTTTTGTTTAATAATTTGGTTCTGTGGTTTTAAGGTGTGTGCTCCTTCTCTTATCCATTAGAATAAACAGATATACTCCCTCTTGACAAACTATCTAAAGTATTAGCGTGAATGTTACATTCTACTAATTTGTGGACCTAATAATTGGCGTTGGGTTATATGGGCAACTCAAATTGTGTCTTGCAATGTCAATTAAAAAATAGATCAATTCAACGAACTCGTATCTTTTCTTTTTTTTAACAAACGCAGTGTTATAAGCTTGATGTGCTGAANTTACATTCTACTAATTTGTGGACCTAATAATTGGCGTTGGGTTATATGGGCAACTCAAATTGTGTCTTGCAATGTCAATTAAAAAATAGATCAATTCAACGAACTCGTATCTTTTCTTTTTTTTTAACAAACACAGTGTTATAAGCTTGATGTGCTGAATCTTAACTTGAAAAAAAAATAAATGATCATAAATTAATTTGCAATGCAAAATAATTTATGTTAAAGCAAAAGAGAGAAAATTTATTGTCAATTTCATGTTCTGTAGCCATATGGGTAGAGCCACTGTTGAATAATTATACATAAGGGTAATTCAGACAATTAAATAAAATTTCTTGTAACTTTCTTGCTTTCCAAACTAGAGAATGAAATTTCCTTAAAACTTTCTTTCAAAATTTTCATCCTAATCAAACACACAAGAAAATATATGTTTTTTCACTTTCTTTTCTTTCAGTTCACTTTCTATCACTTTCACTTTCTATAATCTTTTTTTTTTNAAAATTTCTTGTAACTTTCTTGCTTTCCAAACTAGAGAATGAAATTTCCTTAAAACTTTCTTTCAAAATTTTCATCCTATTCAAACACACAAGAAAATATATGTTTTTTCACTTTCTTTTCTTTCAGTTCACTTTCTATCACTTTCACTTTCTATAAACTTTTTTTTTCTAACCAAACAGACCCTTTGGGTCGGTTGGCTTTCTGGTTGGTTATTTGCTAGGATATGAGCTTCCGATGACACCCTTGCTGGATTTGTTCCTTGATTTCGATGATGTAGAATATAGAAAGAACGTCCAACAACAATACCCAACCAAGAACCAAACTGATTGGAAGTGCTTAAGTCCCTTTTTTTTTGGCTAAACTGCTTGAGGAAACAAACTTTGTTGTATGATCAATCTTCCCACAATGATGGCATATGTGTGGTAATCTTTCACACTGAAACTTGGCACAACAAAATTTTGCATCTGGGTTCCGAAGCTTAATTCAGCGGCGAATGGGCTGTATAACATTAATCTGAACAAGCATTCTAAAGAATTTTTTTCATTCACCAGAGATCTCTCTAATTTCTATCACCTCCCATTCACTGAAACTGCCAGTAATTTTCAGGGCCATCTCCTTAGTGTAACATTCACGTGGAACATCACTAACTTGGACCCAAAAGAAAGTTGAGTCAAAAGAAAAGTCATCTATTACATTGCAAGGTAGCCACTTTCTAAAAATCAGCAACTTGTTATTGAAACACCAAGGTCCTTGTTCCCTAACCCTTATCAAATCATTTTCGCCCTTCAAAAAAAACTGGAAAATATTCAGAGAGACCTTTGAAATCATAAGACCTTGCAGCTTCCATACCCCTGGCAGAGTGCTCCTCAAAATTCCAAGATTCACCGGTTTAGCCGAAATAACTCTCGACACATTCACTTAGACCATCAGCTATTTCCTCAATGCTAAAATTTGTACCGTATTTTCTTCGGCTGATAATGAAAACAAAAAGAGTTTTATCTGACAAACTTTCTTCCTTTCTCAGAATTTCAAAAAGGCAGAGAGTAAAACCCGTCAGAGTAGAATATCATAAGCCAAGGAATTAACGAAAAAGCAAAACAAAACCGCAGGGAAGCACAAAGAACAAGAGACAAAACAGAGAAGTTTGTCTCACTATGAAAACAGAACTAAAATGAAAGATGGTAGATTGGAAAATGACCAAAGGATTATAGAACATTCTACTGACAAGAGAATGAGAACAAAACAGGATTCCGAAGGAAGACCAAAGAAGAGATGAAAGACTCCTATAGGGAACCTAAGGAGAGAAAAATCCTTTTTTTACCAATTTGTAAACTTGAATTCACGAAATTGAATGAAGTATTATTTGATCTTGATACATATCAATTCCAAGAAACAAAATTAAGGTTATAAGTATATCACCAATGAGTCTTTGGTCCAACCGAGCGCGAACTGTGCTCCAGGAATTATATGACTCAGTTCCTAGCAACATAGCAATTCCACTGTACAATGGCAAATACTGGCAGAGAAATTGCTCAAGTCCAAACTTATCTCCCTCTTGAAAATGGAGAGGAGAACAAGTTAAAATTTTTCTGATGTACAAATTTTATCTTTAATCATTGTATTCTTTTTGCTCATTGCATTACCCCAAATGTCGCAGATAATGTAAAAAAAATTATCCAATATGAAGGATAATATTTGCAGATTATCGTCAACGGGAAACTAAATTTTACCGGTACCGGGAAACTAAAATCATTGGTGCACAATCCTGATGAACAAAGTTTCTTTTGAAGTATATTACAAGAACTAACAAACACTGGGGAGTGGCATCCAATTGACTTGCCCAACTCCTGAAGCTGGAGCTTTGCGGACACGAGAAAAAGAAATACATCCACTCTACCTGAGATTTACAAAGACGTAGAAGAAATGGGAGGGAAATAGGGGTTGGTTTGGGGAATTCCTGACTCAGCGTATAATGTGTCAAGGTTCCAGTTCATCTACAATCCACCATTACCACTTCCTGGACCTCCCAGTGTCAGAACTACACCTTGAAGTTCACTTCTGAGATTTGGATCTCTGTGTAAAAATGGAGTGGCTCTATTGACCGGAGATGATCTGCTAACTTGCGCTTGCCGGACGTTCTGATGGGGTTCTGGTCCATGTAGTGTTGTCAGCTGTTGAGGATGCCTTACAAAAGTGGAACTTATATGATTCAATTGTGGGTGTGGTTGAGTGATAGCAACCTGGCTTGTGAGAGATGAATTATCCTGCCCAAGAAAGGTTCCTCTACAACCAACTTCAGTGGCCTGATTGACAAAAAAACGTTCTCTCAACCATATTTATACACTACAACATAAATGGTTTTCATGCCCTGGGGGTTGATTGATTGACCGAGTTAAAAACTTACCGGAGCAAACAAGACCCCTCTAAATAGCTTTCCATTGACAGTTGCCGTCATCAAGTAACCTGAGTCAAAAGCTCCATCAACTTTCCCACGAATTTCAGCTCCAATCTAAGGTGAGAGAGTTCAAACAAAAAGCATGAACAACTGTAATCAACAGAGCCTATTCTTATTTTTGGGAGGAAAGATGGTGCAATTTATTTATTATCAGGACATGTCCAAGGATGAATGACAATGCATAGTGCAATCTAAGCTGCCCCGTAAATTGTGGTGGCAGCAATCCGGTGTTGCACTAGTCTCTTGACCAAAATAAGTACAATATAGGAAAGAAGAGTCTGCTTAAAAGCAGCTATCAAATAATTGAGTAAATTACCAGGCTTCTGACAGATCCTGCCTCTAAGGGGTTCTGTTCTGCTGCTGGGCATTGCATTTCTTGTCCACCAGTAGAGTTAACATGGATATATTGTTCTGGTTTTGGCTGATTGAAAGGTTCTCCCAAGAAGTGTAGATCCTGTGGAGTTCTTCGGATAATAATTCTGGGGCTTGTATGGTTACTTGGGAGATTTTTAGATGGGAAACTGCTAGGATTCAAATTATGTTGCTTAAACAAAGGAAATATCTGAGAAGCCGGGGCAGAGTTAGTGGTCTTCTTAACAGGTGTCTGTTCTTGATCAGATTGAGATGGAGATGAATGCTGGGAGAGCGAAAGAGAATGCTCTTCTGGCTCTGATTCTATCTCACATGCCTTCAAGTTGGCCATTCGTCTTCTCTTTGGATGCAAAGTATCTTCAGAAAAATGACAATTTCAAATTAGTCATGCTTTCGCATATACAAATCTAGTCATGGTTAGATGATGTTATCCAACCTGAACTGAATCGAAAAGATTGCTTTGGCTCCAATTCTGGTTTGCAAGCTTCCTTTCTTATTCCATCTATATCATTGCCCAAAAACATATTTTTCTGCAGGAAAAGGAAAATACAGAAATTAACAAAAACAAGCTTCTTCCTTCCAAAATCCAATATCATGTTACAAGTAATATTTTTCAGTTTTATTGAGGTCCATCATACCGAGATATTCACTGATTCTCGCATGAACCTTCTCTTTTCTTGGTTGCAGAGGCTTCCAAAGGTTTTAGACATGGACATATTATAACAGCCATATGGATGTTCCCCACCAAGCTGCAAGATGAGTAACTCTTTGAGAGGATGCTCATCCTCCCCACACCTGTAAGTTTGAAGCAGCAATAAGAAAGCAGAAGTTTATATCAGATATCTTATATTAAGAGAAAAGCATCCATCATGACAAGTGTTCAATTGTTGAAGTTTCAGAAACTCACCCTCCATAAATAACTATGTCAGAGCCGATGACGATGGCTGTATGAGAGAACCGCCCTTGCGGTGGTTGGCCATGTATCTCAAGGTGCTTCCATGAACATGTACTTATATCAAGGTCCCAAACATCATTGTAGTATCTCTTGTCACCAACCCCACCAATTACATATACCTGCAAAGCACAAAAAGTGCAGTCAATTTTTTTTGTCCTGTGAATTATTTGTCAAGGGAGAGTTTTAGAATCACTTGAAAACAAAGTGGAAGGATCATATGCCTCATTCCAATCGCAGATTGAGAGGACAAGCACGTTCCATAGTGTCACATTGATTGAATATACAATACACAAGAACAGTCATCAATTGAATTTTCTCCAAAGATAATGCACTATTCTAATTAGATAAAACAAGTTGGAGAATTCCACATTGTCAAATGCCCTTCTAACTTTTTTTCCTTGTTTTCTCTCTTCCACTAGTGTAAGGGCCTGCTTATTCTCACTTGGTATGAAACAACAATAAGGCTTGCCTGTGATCCAAAACTCACAGCAGCATGCCCAGCTCGAACACCAGGTGAAGGTCCATGAACAGCCAACTGCAGAAGAAAAACAACATGACCATTGAACTGGAGCCCCTTTCAATAACTTTCACAATATGGACGAAGATTAACATTATATTTGTAATATCAACTATGAGATGGAGCTAGGTGAAATTCATACCCTTGACCAAGTCAGTGTATCCATATCAAACATGTCAACATCGCCTTGGTACCGATCACCACAATCTCCACCATATACAAAGAGCTTGTTTCCCATTGCAACAGCACTATGACTGTCCCTAGGGGCAGGAATATCACCCTTCACCTCAGGGGAAGTCCACCTCATGGTGTTGAGGTCTAGAAAATGTAAATCATTCAAATAATTTGCCTCCCCTTCTCCACTGCCTCCAAATATAACTAATATCTCATTGCCAACAAGTGTGGCAGTGTGACTTTCACGAGGGGAAGGTGGAACGCCTTTGCAATTGGCCTGGGTCCACTCTCTTGTCCTGAGATCCAATATATGAAGATTGCTGACCTTTCTAGAACCATTTGTGCCCCCAAACACTATCATCCTGTGCTCAACAAGTACGGCACTATGGCTGTCTCTCGGGCCTGGACCCTGCCCAGTGGTCACAAGAGTGTTCCAAGCCATCGTGTTGAGATTTAGCACGAGGACATCACTGAAATGCAGGCCCCCACAACATCCCTGAAATAGGTATACAGAAAAGGCATGAGTATGCAGCATTGGCATGGAAAGTAAAAGTATGCTTCTATAAAGTGGGCAATGATGCTTTCCCTCGATAGTTTGCGCATTCACAAAACCGATCTCCTAAGTGGCTTCGGGGTACTTTGCCATTTTCAATGGGACCATTAAATAGTATGCAACAGTTTGAAAAGCAAATATCAGCTGATAAAATCATTGTTGGTTATTTAGATATTACTTAACAAGTCTTACATGGTCACTGTCACTCAATTGGGATGTGTCACATTCGTACAATTAAAGCCAACAGGCTGTCAAGCGGAAGTTTCTCCATTTTGTAAATGAACTTGAACAAAATCAAGTCTTTCCAATGAAAATTTTAAAAATAGAGAACAATTCATGATGCTCCATTTGGACGAGAATGAAGCATTCCCTGTTTTGTAAACTCAAAAAAAATGTGTTCATGTTTTTCTTCTTATACACCTTCTTGTCAGTAACACAAGGAGCAAGGTGAAAAACAAATCAACATGAAAAGTACATTTGTCTTTTTGAGAAAGTAGAATTTACGCGCTTGTTTTATAAGAAACAGAAAATCAAAATCATAAGAGAGAAACTAACAGGGGTTGTGTGGTAGCTTATTGAACTATCTGAGGGAAAAGTCAGCACTTGATCCAAATATTTATTTTTCTTAACTAAAAAAAAATTATTTCTTTTACATATTTCGACACTGTGAGTGGTTTAGAGCAGAGATCACAGTAAGAGACAGATGAGATATTTGAGAAACCGAAAGAAAATACATGTCTACTATAGAACCAGAGTATTGTCACCCAAGTAAGAAAATTGAGAGGCTGCAGAAAATCGCAAGAAAAATGTTCAGTATCAAAATGAAAATTCTGTGCATTATACATGGTAAGGACGAATTTGCAAGATACAACTAAACTAAACTCAACAAAACCATGTCCTAACATAATAATTATTCAGATATCTATGCCAAAATATTACTAATAATAATAGTAATAATAATAACAAGAAGAAGGACAATAATAGTAACAATAATAATTATAATAATAGGGGGAAAAGGGAGGAAAGCAGAAATCGAATGAAATTTTTACATTAACAAAACAAGAGGATATTACTATACAGCCTCTCTAAAATAGAAAAACTGAGAATCTACATCCAAGGCAAACTTCAGACAGTATGACAACAAGAAACAATGAACAAAAAAATAGGAAAGAACAAAAACCGTTTTAAGACAGTGTACCTGTTCTTAGCCAAAGATAACAATACTAGAAATATACTCGAAAAAAGAAGCAAAAATCATCAACCACAAAAGATTAAGAAGTTTGAATAAAATATAAAATGACAGGCAAGCTCAGGAACCAGACCACTGATAATTGCAGGACAGTTATTCTGAAGCAAACATCTATTAGTAACAGTCGAACACCTCAAAGAACTATATATAGAAGAGGAACCAAGAAGTATGAAAACTGAAATCCATGTCAAACAGCATAATTAGTTTAGGAATTTACAGAATATGGACAAGAAATAAATGAAAAACAGGGGTTTTTATTTTAAAAAAAATGCATACCCCAAAGACATAGAGAAGGCCATTAGAATAGCAAGCAGAATGCCCCCATCTCTCAGAAGGATTAAAGCCCATAACCTTTGGATAGAGCCACATTGCCTTCTTCTTTCCAGCTTCACCCGCCGGAGACGCCATTCTTTCTCTTCTCTTCTCTCTCTCAGTTCAGGTTCTGATCAAGTTCACTGCACACTGCTTGACAAAGATGAAGCAGCAGGGGGAAAAAAGAAATAGAGGGTCAAAAGAGGACACGAACAAGCCAAGTGACACATCAACCATCAGTGTCAATGGACATGAAAAGATGGGCGCTTTCATGTCCAAATCACTGTGACTACCACCACCAACGGAGGGTTGTAGTGAAAAACGTAGTTATCTATCTTCCTAGATTCTTTTTATATTCCTCCGAAAATATATAAATAAAACCCACCTGGATATTAACACTGGCATAAATAGCATGAATTAATAAGCTATATAAATGGGATTTAAGAAGTGATGTAAAATCATGAGAATGAGACTGTCTCGCGTGTGCATGTGTGTGNGAACAAGCCAAGTGACACATCAACCATCAGTGTCAATGGACATGAAAAGATGGGCGCTTTCATGTCCAAATCACTGTGACTACCACCACCAACGGAGGGTTGTAGTGAAAAACGTAGTTATCTATCTTCCTAGATTCTTTTTATATTCCTCCGAAAATATATAAATAAAACCCACCTGGATATTAACACTGGCATAAATAGCATGAATTTATAAGCTATATAAATGGGATTTAAGAAGTGATGTAAAATCATGAGAATGAGACTGTCTCGCGTGTGCATGTGAGAGAGAGAGAGAGAGAGAGAGAGAGAGAGAGAGCAGCAGATCTTTCTTTATTGTTATCCATGTCTATCGCTGTTTATTTGTTTCTTTATCTTTTTTCACTTGTCTAACTGAAAATGATGGAGTGCACCAGCATTGGGTTGTGGGAAATGATGGGAAGGTCTTTGGGTTTCTGCAGTAAAAGGTACGGGTTAGAGAGGGAGAGACTCTTTTCTCTCTGTCTAGGTCCAATTTTGGTATAAAAAAATTAATATTTTAGTATCATATTTTTATTTTAATCGGATAAATATATAATATCTACAATTTATTTTTATTTTTTCTTATTAAAATAAAATATATTTTAGTACCATATTAAAAGATAATATGATTTATTTATTCATATTCATCACAAAAAATAACTTACAGTATTAAATTTTTTTATAAAAAATAACTTGTCGTATTAGATATATATATATTATATATATCTATATATATATGCGGTTCTGTTCTACAGTTGAGATGATATGGGGATTGATGGTAGGGAAGTTTTTTAACTCTGCACCCAAATTTCAATGTGCGTGGATCTAGAAATGTCCCTTCTCAAGGTCTTTGGGAGAGGTGTGGGGCTTTGTGTTATGCAAGTTTTGGAGGTGAGAATGAGATGGTGCTGTTTTTTCTCTTTTCTATCGTTTTCCTATCTTGAGATGGGATCTCACTTAAGTCTCTTCATGAGATATTGAATAATTAAAACTTGAGATAATGGCTTAGGACTACCTCACAATTCTTTAATCATATCACTTTTGTCTGTCAAATTCATAGTTTGTCACTTTGATGCCAAAAAAGGCTGATTTAAATTGACAAATAAAAATAATTTTGTATATTTCACGTAACCATTGGCAAATATAAAAGACAAGTAAAGAAATTTGAAGAACTAAAATGAAAAAATTAAAAAAAAATGAGGACCAAAGTGACATAAATATTCAAGGGATAAAGTGACCCTCAAGTGTGCTCACATGAGATGCATGTGCCCATTTTTGTTTCTCAATTTATATTATCGTTTTTGATTGTATCAAAGTGATATTAATCGACACTTAGAGGGATTAAAATTACAATTAACTAAACAATGACCAAAGTTATACAAAACACACCTCTATGGACTATAAGTGTGTAATTTTACCCTTATTAAAGTTTTAAGGGATGTGATGGTGTTTGTTTCTGTCAATTCTTCATAATGAGTTTTTTTTTTTGGTTACACGTGTTTAAGTTTACGTCGATTATTTCCTTCAACTTAGNTTTTGGTATAAAAAAATTAATATTTTAGTATCATATTTTTATTTTAATCGGATAAAAATATAATATCTACAATTTATTTTTATTTTTTCTTATTAAAATAAAATAATTTAGTACCATATTAAAAGATAATATGATTTATTTATTCATATTCATCACAAAAAATAACTTTCAGTATTAAATTTTTTTATAAAAAATAACTTGTCGTATTATATATATATATATATATATATATATATATATATGCGGTTCTGTTCTACAGTTGAGATGATATGGGGATTGATGGTAGGGAAGTTTTTTAACTCTGCACCCAAATTTCAATGTGCGTGGATCTAGAAATGTCCCTTCTCAAGGTCTTTGGGAGAGGTGTGGGGCTTTGTGTTATGCAAGTTTTGGAGGTGAGAATGAGATGGTGCTGTTTTTTCTCTTTTCTATCGTTTTCCCATCTTGAGATGGGATCTCACTTAAGTCTCTTCATGAGATATTGAATAATTAAAACTTGAGATAATGGCTTAGGACTACCTCACAATTCTTTAATCATATCACTTTTGTCTGTCAAATTCATAGTTTGTCACTTTGATGCAAAAAAAGGCTGATTTAAATTGACAAATAAAAATAATTTTGTATATTTCACGTAACCATTGGCAAATATAAAAGACAAGTAAAGAAATTTGAAGAACTAAAATGAAAAAATTAAAAAAAAATGAGGACCAAAGTGACATAAATATTCAAGGGATAAAGTGACCCTCAAGTGTGCTCACATGAGATGCATGTGCCCATTTTTGTTTCTCAATTTATATTATCGTTTTTGATTGTATCAAAGTGATATTAATCGACACTTAGAGGGATTAAAATGACAATTAACTAAACAATGACCAAAGTTATACAAAACACACCTCTATGGACTATAAGTGTGTAATTTTACCCCTATTAAAGTTTTAAGGGATGTGATGGTGTTTGTTTCTGTCAATTCTTCATAATGAGTTTTGTTTTTTTGGTTACACGTGTTTAAGTTTACGTCGATTATTTCCTTCAACTTAGATACTAGTCATTTTAACGTGAGCAAATTTAAAATATGTCTACTGAAAAATAAGGGTGGCTGACCCTTAAAAGAGCATGAGATTTCGCCTAAGCCTTTTTATAAAAAAATAATTAAAGTTGAGAAAATGAATTGATAGCACAACCCCATAAGTGCCAAGATATGCATTTTAATTAAGCATATTACTCAAGTCGAATATATTGAGCTCGAATATATATTGGCCCAAATATAAGCGATCGGATTTGAACTTGAGTTAAAGCTAAGCTCAACTGTCGAGTTAAAATTCTTATTTAAATTTAGTCTAAAGAAACTTAAGAATGACACCCGAGCCAAACTCAAGTTTAATTTTTTAGCAAAAATTTAAAAAAATTAAACCGTATTATTCAATACTCAATTCTAACATAATCAATTCTTAAAAAAAATCCCAATAGTCAATTATAAAATTAAAACCTAAAGTTTAATTAATCAGAGAAAATAGAGAGAAAAGTGTATATGATCTGAAACTATTTACAGATTACTTTGGAGTGATTCATATTTTGCTTAAGGCTTTCTTAGTAGAAAATTTAGCTTGAGCTAAACCTACTTTAACGAAATCACCAGTACTTAGCTTCTGCTGCAAACACAAAATAAGCTTAAAAATCCAATTAGATTTAATTTATTATTAAACTTGAACAAGTCTATAAGACCCAAACTCGAGCCGAACCTATCATTAAAATCATCTTAAAATCATATCATTCTTAATGAATAATTGAGCTTGGAATCATTATCCACATCCCTGTATTGAAGAACTATAACTTATCAAATACATTCTTTCACACCAGGGCAGAGCCACCTTCTGTCCGGGGCACATGCCCATCCTCACAATTGTTTTTCATAAAATTACTTATATATATTTTAAGTATTTTTTTTATTTTCTAAATTGTGTTCACCCTATTTTTTAGTTAAGACTAGAAAAGAAATAATATATCCATGAGTTTACTTGTAATTTGACAATTATTTTAGTATGATTTTGGATATAAAAAATAATAAAGTTAATACAAGACTTTCAAAGTATGAAAATTTGTCAGAATCAATTCTAAACAGTTTCATTTGTTTCTTAAAAATATATAATTATTCTCTCTTTTTTTATCCTTTGTATATAGCATACTTACAAATTTTAGTCTTTTGAGTTTAATGAACTTTTAAGTATTAAATAGGATATAATTAAATATAAATGTATTATCCTATTTTTATCAATTACAAGAAAAAAAATTAAGTTTGTTAAAATATTCAATGTCCACCCAAAAATAATTTCCCAGCTTCCACCCCTGGTTTCACAAATTTTATTTTAATGCGAAATCATTAGCCATGAATTTAGGAATGATCTACCTATATTCAATTGAAATTAAAAAATGTAATGTCTTTTTTTTTTTTTGAAAAGTAAAGTAACACATTGAAGGCTAGTATCATGTGAGGCTCAAGAATACATGAGGCCTGAAATGATAAATGTCAATGAAACCTTTTTATTTTTAATAATATTTTAAAATTTTAATTTTTAATCCAAATTATGCTAACATATCTTTTTAATTGATTGCATAACTTTTGACATTAATATTTTGTTAAGCTTATAATCTATTACTTCATTAATATTTTTTTATTTTTTTATTTGTTTTATACGTTCTTCATCAAAATTGTGATATTACATGATTAACTATTATTATAAATATATTCATATATATATTTTTGTTGAATTATTTTACTATCTTCTAATTTTTTTGGGATCTTTTAGTTGTTTATATTAGTAACTTTTACCTCTAAATATTTGTTATAATTTATTTGCTATGAATAACAATTTTGTTAAAAAATATTTTTAAAGTTAAATTAGTTTTTATTGTGAATCCTTTACGGAAATAAATAGTTTAGTTGGTATTTTGTAGTTAAACCACAAAAAAATCGAGTTTCAGAGAATTAGAGAATATGTTGAGTTGGATTTTTCTTTTGTACAAGAGAGAGACAGATTGATACTTATTAT